CTCACTTGAGGCCCTAGTTCGAGAAGGAACTGATGATGGACAAAACCCTTGCACATATTCAGGTTACAGGCTTCATAGCCTCCTTGGTGTTGATGTATTTCTATTTTATGTGTATTTTCCTTTTAGAACTATACATGTACACTTCAAGGCCCAAAGAAAGGGTGTTTGGCCTCGTATAGTAACCTAATGTAAATTGTTATAGAAATTTACAGTTCTTGAAACTCCTCATGAACCCAATTATCTGTAAAAAACCCTTATATTTCCATTATATAAAATATAAGGGTGGATTTGACCCAAAATGTATTAGTTCGCTAGTTTATCTTATGTGAATGAGATATCTTGCTTCGATTTCTTTTCTGACACATATCTTTCCGACATATGGTTCACTTTCGACCCTCTTCTTACTGAGTTTGGATATGCTATTAAGCACCCTTTAGTGTGGCATGATTTCATTATGGTGCAGGCTTCCCATCAAGATTGAATGTGGGCCTAAATGGATTTTGGATTTTATTACTTAAAAAAAAGGATTTGGATTTGATTAACATTCTCCAAAAAGGTATTGCCAATAATCTCGTTGATATTGAAACCGTTAAAAGGACACCCAATAACTTATTAGGTACCATACGAAGCATTTGCAATATGGGAAGCAAGTACACCATTCGGGTGATATTCTTATTAGGTACTGTGCAAAGTATTTGAAACACAGGAAACAAGTACCATTCAGCAAATATTTTCAAAAGAGTTACAAATGGATCTGCTGATTCACCAATCATTTAAGGTTCTAAAACAACTATATTCACGTTACATGCAATAGTACCTAAAATTACTACTGAAGTGTAGTGTCTAAGAAGGTGGGGCGTTATCCTGGCAACTTAAAAAGATTTTAAGGACTTCCCATGCTATTAGACTACTTGCATGTCTTTGTATTTGAGATTGAATTCATATGAATTTTTGCATTTAATTGTTTATGTCCATTTATGAGCAAGATATACGTGGAAGATATATGAGTCAAAAGAAGTTGGATTGTAATCTATTCATTCTATATTGTTTTGTTTCGCCTTTGAATGGAAACTGTATCAAGGACTAATTGAAGTGATCCTTATAATTTTTGAGATATTGTATATGAAGATTGAGTGCCTTGTAACCATATATGCAGCTGCAAATTGTATGCAATGAGTGTAACATGAGTTGTATTCAATGAAAAGTTTTGTTTTTCATACCTTGGACTCGTCCTTTATGCATTACCACATTAATTACAATCCGGAAGAATTATTCTCATAAGAATTTCACTTTCGAATGTCAATAGTGCCGGCTAATCTTTTGAGCCATAACAAATATTTTTAAAATAATTTAAAAAAAGTAAATTAAAATAAAACATTTCTTAATAGAGATTGGCCCAGTAAACCAGAAACCAAGAGTTGGAGGCATGTATCAGACCACGATTGTTTTACACCCTTTTTGCCTTCTCTTTCTTCAAATTATTTGCTAAAATTATTGTTGATTTGAAATTGATCTAAAGTGAACTGGCCTTCTTCTTGTTTAGGTGCCTATGCGAGGTTGTGAGGTTGGTCAAGGTTTTCAGGGTTTCTATGGCTATGAAGGATGAAGTTGCTGCATTCTCCTAAGGCTAGGGTTTTCTCACTACGACTCTTTTGGATCTTTAATCTCTCTAATATTTACAAACTCTCTCGAACTCCTAGGAGCTACTCTTCTGAATGTCTCTAAACTGTTACAAACTAAACTTCTAGGCCGAGAAAGGTCATTTTATAGGCTACTTTTAAGTGGTTTTACATGTTTTTGGATCATTCCAAAATCCTATCGCCATCAGAATCAGTATGGACCGTTGAATTGACAACAACCTGATTTGCGTCGTCGATTTCCTAGCACCTGAGACACAAGTTGTGTTGTTGTTTCCTTTTGCCTTGTTTTGCGGCTGCGTTAACCCTATCTTGATTTAAACTTTTTTGGATAGATTTCTAACACGATTTGGATCCGAGAGAGTTCTAATCTTATGTAAGCTATGATTGTTTCTGTCTTGAGCTGATTCTGGATAAATCCTAATGCCTTCAGGATTCCTATTAGGTATCTTTCAAGGTCTTCTAGAAACTATGGACTACGGTTTAGGGTATAGGAACTATAGGTCAGGGCATGCTAGGTTTTTATTGCACTAGTGTGGTCCCGAATAGCTAATTAGGCTATTTTTAAGTTAGTTTTCCTAGTTTTTTAGGAAATAATTGTCATAGGATTAGGATTTAGGGTTTTGCTAATGCTCAAAATTTAGGTATGAGGCCAAGGGACATAGGAATACAACCGGTTTCAAAAGTGGTGTCTACATGATCCCGTTTGTTTACATTTGTTGGTTAAAAAATTCTAATAGTAATTTGACCTCTACGAAGGAATCGGGGGTTGGCTCACACATTTGAACTACTCCTGCTAAACTTTTTTTTTTTTTAGGGAAATGTTTATATAGAGCTATGAACAATCAAATTAGAGAGCCTATTTCAAAAATTGAAGTAGAAGAGATTATTTTGATGCCCAAATGTCTTCAAATTGATCATTTTAGCATCAAGATGCATGGACACGAGAAAAAAATGGATTTCAAGTTTTGGAAATAGTGCATCTTGTAACGTATTTTGGGACCGTCAATTTTCAAGATTTTCAAGTTTTCATAGATCTGATCGATCTACTATATTTTTTAAGCTTTAAATTTTATAATTAAAGATAAAAATATATTTTAAGGCTAGTTAAATATTTCTAGTATTGAAACCACATTTTTCAACACTATCTGAAAGTGGGCTCTAATTTGATTGTTTAGAGCCTCGGCTCAATACAAACCACACCCTTTTTTTTATGAGTGTAGCTACTAGTTCTAAACCTTATTTCTAACAACTAGAAGTCATCAACGAATTTAGGTGTTTTAATTTTCTTTCTTTTCTCGGATCACTCGTGTGCTGTCTAGACACTACTACGGGGCCGTTTGGATCCATAAAAATGGATTACTTGGAAAAATCTATTTCCATTAAAATGTGTTTGGAGAAAAGTATTTCCTATATCATAGATTTCAGTTGTTTGGATGCTACATGGATGCATAACATTTTCATGCTTTTTTTAAAAAAAATTATTAAATATTTTTATTGTATTATTCATCACAATTTTTTTAAATTAAATTTGAGATCGTATCTCTCTCTAAATATTTTGAGATAATTTCACTCTAAAAAATTTCAAGTACTTTCTCTCTCTAAAATTTGATATAGTTTTTCTATCTAAATTTTAAGATATTTTCTCTCTCTAAAACTTAAAATTTTAGATAGTTTATCTCTCTAAAATGTTCAAAAGAGTTTCTCTCACTAAAAATGTTTAAGTACTTTATCTCTCTAAAAGTTAAAATTTAAAATAGTTTCTCTCTCTAAAATTTGATATAGTTTGTCTCTCTAATATTTTAAAATACTTTTCTTTCTAAAAATTAAAATATGAGTTAGTTTCTCTCTCTAAAAAATTTGAGATAGTTTATCTATCTAAAATTTTTAAGATACTCTCTATAAAACTAAAAATTCTATATAGTTTCTCTCTCTAAAAATTAGAGACAGTTTCTCTATCTAAAAATTTCAAATACTTTCTCTCTCTAAAACTTAAAATTTGAGATAGCTCCTCTCTTTAAAAGTTTTGATATAGTTTCTCTCTCTAAAACTTTTGAGATATTTTCTCTTTCTAAAATTTTTCAAGTACTTACCCTTTCTAAAACTTAAATTTTGAGATAGTTTTTCTCTCGAAAAAATTGGACACTTTCTCTCTTTAAAATTTTAAAGTACTTGTTCTATCTCAAACTTAAAATTTTGAGATAGTTTTTCTCTAAAATTTTAAGTTATTTCCTCTCTCCAAAACTTAAAATTTGATATAGTTTTTTTTTTCTAAAATTTTTGAGATAATTTTTCTCTCTAAAAATTTTCAGTACTTTCTTTCTCTAAACTTAAAATTGAGATTATTTCAGAATTTTTAGGTACTTTCCTTTTATAAAACTAAAAATTTTCAATTACTTTCTCTCTCTAAAAATTTCAAGTACTTTATGTTTCTAAAACTTAAAATTTGAGATAGTTTTTCTCTCTAAAATGTTTTTAGATACTTCTCTCTATAAAATTTTAAGTCGTTTTCTCTCTAAAACTTATAATTTGAAATAGTTTCTCTCTATAAAAACTTTGAGATAATTTCCTTCTAAAAGATTTCGATAGTTTCCTTCTCTAAAATTAAATATAGTTTCTCTCTCCAAAATTTTAAGATACTTTCTCTCTATAAAATATAAAATTTGATATAGTTTCTCTCTCTAATTCGTGGGGGTGTTTATGTAGAATTAGTTATATTTTATAAAGTAGATGTCTCTATAACTAGGAAATTTAGCTGAAAATAAATTTCCGAGGGTAAAGACAATGATACATATTTTTTTTTTATTTTCATCTTAAACGAAGAAAACAATTTCGAGAGGAAATCCATTTCACTCCCAACATTTCAATCCAAAAGCCATAAATGTGTCATGTCCCCTAAAAATACATTTATGAAAATGTATTTCCAAGTATCCAACCAGCCCTGTACATCATCGAACATCAACTTATTGTTTAGAAATCCAACCTAAAAATTGTTAAGCCAAAGTTTTGGTCATTTTAGTTTCCACTTCCTTTGTGGTTTAACAAACTTTTTACATGAATTATGTACCCTTAATTTTTCAAAAAAAGGTACAACAAATTCTACAAAAGAAATCCAGGATTAGAATCATGCACTGTCAAATTTCTAACCAAAAAAAAAAAAACCTTACCTTAAGTGGAGGACATGTTGGTCATTTCATAAAAAAAATGTCCAAAGGGCACTCAAAAATTTAAATCCCCAAAAGAGAATACAAAGATAGAGAGTGCATTAATGGCTTTGCACAGGTGCAATGAATGTCTCTCTCTCTCTCTGCATTATATGGAAGTACTTCCACAAGCAGAGAAGGCCATCCTCAAAGAAAGGAAATGGAGGAGAGAAGAGTCCCAATGCAAATGGTGGATGAAGTGGAGCAAGAAATGGATGAAAATAATGATCTCACAACAGGCATAATCAAATCTACTGTCAACACATGGTAATGACTCTATACACCTTCACTTTCCCTCTCTATCACTGTCTCTGTGTGCGTGCGTGTGTGTGTGTGAGAGAGAGAGAATGGCCCAACTGCTAAACCATTGTTCCTTGCCAAAGGGTTTCTTGTCGCTATGGGGGTGAGAGAGTATAGCCCAAGTGCTGATGCATGGCTCATGCATTGGGGTTTCTTGAGTTTAAAATTGAGAGAGACTTGGTTTTATTTAAAAGGATGGGGTTTCTATGAGTCGGCCTACTCATATATACACATGCGGCCCCTTTTAAATTTCTATTTTAGATATGTTTTTTTTTTATCTTAATTTTTTTTTTTGTTTTTTTTTTTTTTTTTTTTTATTAGATTCATTATCTAGTCACGACGATCATGAATATGCAAATAAAATAAAAAATTTAAACATTAAAAAAAATATTTTTTTGATATTTCTTGGTGCTCTGTAACCTGCAGATGTTTGTGAGTTAACGGGCTCTTGCACCCGCTGACTCACGCAATACTTTTTCTATTAAAGAACATGAGATTGCAGGGAAATTTTGGCATTCGAGTTACTTAGGAAAGAGATGGTGTTGTATGTGAGGCTTTAAAAACAAAGCATGAGTCCCTAAACCTTTATCATGTTTGGTAGCCTGAAGCTCTAATGGAGGTTAGAGAGATGATCATGCTTGACATGTATGTACTATGTATATGAGGCCTTCACATTCAAAACCGATTTCCGGGGAGGTTTTGTAAAAGGTTTTCAATCCGGTTTCACAAGCAATTTCCATTTCTAAAGAGGTTTCCGTTACCCCTTTAGAATAGGGCAAAACTGGAGGTATATTATTAAATGTAGGGATTGTATATAATGATACCATTTATCTCAACTACAAAAGGTTCACAATTACTTACAACTATTTAATGTGAAATTGGATAGCTCAGGTAGGTCATAAAGTTTAAGAAAATAGTTTTTGAACTTTGAGTTTAGTTAACGAAAGAAATGCGGCCACCCAATTTTACATCCAATGGTCAAATTTAATTGTGTCCTACTTGTACCAAAGGTAAATGGTCTCATTGTATACATTGTTTATAAAAATATCTTCTTATTTTAAAAAAATTTAAAAATACGTAAATTTTTCTAATATTATGCCGAGACTTATTTTCCACCACCTTTATTTTTATATGTGCAATGCCACTGCTATGAATCTGTTAGGTCTGTAGTGGCAAGAACTGCCATGGATCTGTTAGATTTGTATCGCTTTCCAATGGTATAGATATAACACATCCACCACGATGGTGCTTAAAACCTACTAAATCCGTTTGCAGATCTTGTACAAGTATCTAAAATGGCAAATTTAGCTACTTTCAAATACAAATAAGGTAAATTTAATATTACGTTTATTCAGACTTCATTTAGCGATAAAAATAAAAATAAAAACAAAATGTTATCAAAACTAGACTAGATTGACTAGCCCAATTGGTTGGACTGCCAGCTAATATTTTAACAAGTCATTTTGTCCAAAGAAAAATTGGAATTTATTTGAAAGCCTGCCAAAACAAATGCGTGACCGATTTAGGTTGGTCGGGCCAACAACTCTTGACCGGATTGATCAATAAAACTAAATTTAGCCAACTTTATTATAATATATTTAATTATTGTCAGAGTTTTTTTCCAATTATTTGGAATCAGCTACACAAATCATGTTTCGTCATTCTGCTCTATCTAAGGCTGTATCATTAGTGAGATCATATGTCCCTATATATTTTCTCAATACTTCCAATCGTATCCTTGTGGGCTTTCTCTTTCCCTTTTCGAGCTATATTTAATATTTTAAAATTATTATCCTTATCTTTCTTTATTATTTTAAAAACCAACCCAACCAGTGGTAGATCGGTAGCTGGTCCAATTATGATCATCCCTGTATGATACTGGTCCAAAAATCCCCACTTTTCCCACCCAAAAAAAAAAGTGTAGGATTTCACTTGAAAAAATAACTTATTCGAATTTAATTGAGACGGGGTCATTTTGTATTAGGTTTGGTAATAGCCAAAATCACCATTCTTATGTTTTTCTCAAAAGATTAAGAATATTACAATAAATTAAAAAATAAGCATTTTTGGGGAGCAATAAAGAAACTCTAGTGATCTCTATATAAGTGGATCAAGGAACACATAATACTCATCCCTTTTGCGTCACCGCTTTGGGATCATCGGAAAGGATCTCGAAGAAAGTAATGGGTCTCCAAGAGAGAGAGACATGGCATCCTAGTTGTGGAAGAAGAATAAATTTTTTGTATTGAGTTTGGAAACAAGGCCTGAAAAACAATGAGCATTATAAGACTTCATAAAGAAGTCAACAAGTTGTACATAAATGATATTGTCCCTGCTAAGTATTTATGTCAAACAAAATGAAAATTTATTGCAATGTTCTTGTTTTGCTCCAGAACTCTAGGTTCTTAGCAATATAAATCATACTTTTGTTATTGTAAAATAAGGGAGTAAAAGTAGAAAGCTCCACGACCAAGTTAGCTTAGAACTAGCAAAGCCAGACAATCTTAGTCATCATTTGAGCCATGGCTCGATACTTGGCTTTAATAATGGACTGGGCAATACATTTTTGTTACTTGCTCTTCCAAAAAAGCACGGAGTCAACAAGAAAAAAATACAAAATCCTATAGTAGACTTCCAATCGGAATTAACACCTCCAAAATTAGAGTTAGTACAAATACAAATCTCAAGAGTAAAAGATGGCAAGAACAAAAGAACATAATCAAGCATGTCTCCAAATGAATAATGCGTAAAGAACTTGTCAAGTGAACAAAATCAGGAGAATGGAAAAATCGACCGACAAGATGAAGAACATAAACAATATTTGGTCAACAAATGGTCAAATAAATGAAATTTCCAAACCGTCAGCCAACGAACTAGAAAAACAATATATGTGGCATATTTGAGTTAGGAAAGCAAATGCCCATAAGACAAACAAGCAACTTCTAGGCCCACACAAAGGAAAGAAAATATATAGGAACGTTATGCATATGGAATCTACCCTTCATCTGGGAGTATGACACCCTGTGTAGGTTTTCTTGGGTCTCTAGGTTTTTTGATGAGCAACAAATTCCCCTCTTTAGGCCACTTTAGGTTAATGCCTAAGATGGGGCTGGCCTAGTTGTCATGAGAATTATTACTCCTTTCCGAAGTCTGACCTCCTTTATTTGTGGCTGTTTCCTAGATCGGGTATCTGTGTCTGATTCCTCCTTGACTACTTGGTTTTCCTGATTTTCTACTATTGCCTCTCACTTTACTTTCCTCCCTTTCACCTTATCCTACCCACTTCACTCTTGCCCAACCTTACAAACCCCACTTTCCAGTCACTGTTTGTACTAACACGCTTCGGGATGCCTCTGGTTCTGGCCATCGAAAGTTGGTTTTGTGTTGCCCCAACCCCAGCTTGTGTACTTATGGTTGAAGGGATGGTGCTTGACAAAAGTGGCGTGAGAAGCCAAGTTTGGGTTAAGGAATTGAAGAGGACGAGAGGACTTTCGAAGTTGTTTTATGTGGTTAGTGAGGATTCTTAAGCAATTGGTGGTTTGGTGGTGTAAGGTCTTCGAGGTTTAAAGTTTTGTTGTGTTTTGGAAATCTTGGTTTTGTCTACTGATTTTTTCTCTATTTCAGCCACTCTCGTTGTATAGGGATTTTGGCTCCTTTGGAACTCTACTCCCTTTATCGTTACCATTAAAAAAAAAAGAAAAAGAAAAGGTAAGACTTTTGAAAGGAACATCATAACAAAGCATCCCACTTAAATTTCGAATTTTCCCAAGAAAGTAAACACCAAATGACAATGGTCGTTCCATTTAAACGCATTTTGGCTCCACATAACTATTTCTGCGAGAATCTTTAGTGAGGAGCAATTAAAAATATTTGCTTTTATCGATATTAGAAAAACTGAATGACAATTTTCAAAGTTTAAAACAATAATAAATCTTAAAAGCAGAACAAATGGAAGTTATGTGTAGAAGTATCATGAAAATTTGGAAACTCACAAATTACTAATATTTTATCCAGACTTTATAAAGTTTGAATTTAATATTTCTTCTCTTAAATTTCCTTTTTTGTTACTTTTAAATTGATGGTCCTTTATTTCAGTTTCACTATTTAGTTTCTTGAAATTTACTTCCATCCTAATCCTTGGTGTTCCTTTCTTAACAGGCGAAGGGTTACCACACATCGCACTGATGTCACGGTTCGAGTCAAGAACCGAACATTTATCCTTCACAGTGTAATTAGAGATCGATGCCTATGCTATTTATTTACTTTAATATGCCAAAAAGAATGGAACTAAATTGAACAGTCTTGAATCTAAAATTTCATAGGCCAATAAACCCATCCAACTTCCAAGATCTTGAATCTGAAAAAAGAATGGAATTTAAAATTTAAAATAGATTATGTTAAAAAAACTAAATTGAACCGTCTAAAAAGAAAATTTTAATTATTCTCTTTTCATTTATAAAAATGAGGTGCATTGTGCTGGCCATAATGGGCCAGGGTCATGCCTATAGATAACGGGCGAGGCTGGGCCCACCCACTTGCAGCCTGAAGTTCGTTGATGAAACCTGAATCGGCCTCGAGCAATTTGGTTGAGAGAATAACCTATATTTTTCATGAGATTCGATTTTGCAAGCCATTTTGCAGATATCCCACGTTTGATATTGTATACCATATATTTAGGGACATCTGAACCTTACATTTAAGCTAAGGATGGTCATGGATAATGGTGCCATTACAAGTAAGGGCAGTATCCCTGGTTATCAGCTTGGTTTTTTTTCTTGTAGCAGTCCCTTTCGAAAATGGACAGTGTAGTTTCTATATGATATGGTACAATTATCATTTCATAAACTGTTATGAGTGTGATTGAGCAGCCCAAAAGCATGGGCTCGCCTAGAGGAAGTGGTAATGGATGCATATGAGTTCCGAGTGAACGGGTATTCTAACATGGAATGAGGAAAAAGGAATTTGACTACAAAAACCTTAATTGATTCATTGTGTCTTGGAAACGAACTTGATGCCATAACTTTTTCTAGATAAACAATTTACAAGATTTTCTGGACTGAACCAGAACTCAAAATAAGTTCCTTATGCTTTAGCTGTTTTGAAGGAAAAACACTTTGGAACAGCAATAAAATTTATAGTTTCAAAGAATCACTAAGACTTTAGAATATTTAGCACCTCATAACAGCTTATCTATTTCTATTTTTAAGTTTTTCCATTTTTTATCCTCTCACAGCGTCCACTCACATCACGAAGCGGTTACTTTAAACAGCGTCTTCAAGAGTCCAATGACATAAACTTAGATGACACCAATATCACTGCTGAAACATTTGACATGGTTGCCAAATTTTGCTATGGCTCCGATGCCATCTTCACCCCAGAGAACATAGCACCTCTAAGATGTGCTGCCGGGATCCTGGAGATGACAGAGGAATATGAAGTCCAAAACCTCCTTAGGAGAAGCGAGGTTTACTTCACACAAGCGGTGGCCGAAAACAAGGAAGCTGCTGAGGTTATCCTGTACAAGTCATTGGCAATGCTTCCTGAGTCAGAGACTCAAGCATTCCTAGTTAGCAGGTGCATAGAAGCTTTGCTAATTCCTAGAGAGATCCGATGGGTATATCACAGGAAAAGAGAGGACATGAAAGAATATCCAATGGAGCCTTGGGTGGTGTCTGCCAGGTGGGTGGCAGACATGGTTAAGTTGCCATTGGACATGTTCAGGGGGATCATGGTATCTGTGCAGAGGTGTATGAGCGGGAGCCATGATGGAGTTTATCGACTCATTGATGCTTATCTTGAGGTAACTTCTCTTCCTTTTGTTTGGGTAGTTCCATGGTAGGATTCGAAATTGATACCTAGTATTGCAATGTCTCACTAGTTTAGCCAAAACCTAAATCCTATCTCGGGTTATGTTTGTTTCAAGCTGCGCAATTAAACACGGTCCCGTTTTGTGAAATATGTAGGACCTTGATCTGCATTTTCTATGGCCTGCCATCGATGCTAGAGATGGCTTCTAACTCCACATGATGGACAAAACGCTAGACCTTTGATGGAGTTATGGATCACCTCCACCATCTGCAATAGGCCACTGATGGAGGTCATAGTTTTACATGTTTCATGTAGGATCAGGTCCCATAGGATCACTTTCCTTCATAATCATTGCCTTCGGTGGGGAAGTTGGCATGAGACCTTGGACGCAATGCAGCCATTGTAGCCTGTAATTACCAAAAAGGAAAATGTCCCAACCAAGGTTCGGAAAAGAGAAATAATGGACGGTACAATGAGGGGGCCATATCTGCTTCACAGAGGTAATAACCATTATATTCGGAACATTGGCCTAAAACCAGAAAAAAGAAAACGGAAAGGATAAGGTATCCGAAATTTGGCAAAAATAAGGTAAAATATTAAAATTAATGTATGTTTTTAGGAAGGAAATCATATCAGTTATTATGTTTTGTATTTGATGCCAGTTATTACAATATTAGTGCCGCTTTTGTGTGTAAATCCCAAACCGCCGTTCTATTCAATGCACCTGTTCCCCTTAGACACTGTAGCAAATGGGATCCATTACCAGTAACTCGGCTGTTGTTCTATCAAAGAACAGCCATGTTTGGACCTGGGTCCTTGCTCCTAACCATTTCAGCCAAGAGGCCAACTAACTTAAAAGAGAATATCATCCTTTTCGGAATGACGGAACAAACTGATCTCGTTCTTGTCCACCATTAGATGGAGGGAAGGGAAGCATATCTATAATTTCAGGGTTGGAATGTCATTCCAACTGATCAGCACCCAGGACTTAAACCTTTCCACTCCATAAATTCTTAAAGACTTAAAACAAAAGTGTCAATACACCTGAAACGGACTACAACCTTACAATCCACAGGAGGGATAATTGTACTACCTCATGATTGTGCCTAATCAACAGATGCAACGGAGGGCAGTGTGTTTACACAATCTTAAGGTCTCGCCTCCCATCAACCCCCTTGACATCACAGGCCTATTATACCATTAGTGATCTCACTTTTGCATGAGAAAACCAAAGAAAAGGTCTCGGATTTTTCTCATTTAGGAGGGTAAGAAGACATTTTAGAGCCAAGAATTTAAGCTGCAAAGTTAGAGAAAACCCAACAAATTTGCTACAATAACGGTTTATTTAAGTCAAAGAAATCTCGTTATTTTTTTTTTGGGGGCTGAATCAGTGTACAAATCTCGTTACTTGGCTAGAAAAGTTAAAAAGGCTTAATAGATTTGCTCGAAAAATACTTGAATCAAGTGGAAAAATTTAAATGTATGGCCACTAAAGGGGAAAACAGCCAATAATTTACCAAAATAATTCTTGCAGGAACATGCAGAAATGACATTAGATGAGAAGAGCCAGCTCACTGGACTCCTCAACTGTAACTTCCTTTCAACAGAAGCACTTGTTCACACTGTAAAAAACCCGAAAATGCCGTTACGCTTCGTAATCCAGGCCTTGTTTGCGAAGCAAGTGAAGAACAGACAGCTAACTGGACCAAATGCTATGATTTTTTGTCAGCAAAGCTCAACACTCGGTGAGATATTAAAACGAGACACTGCCTTACGAGAAGCAAATCATCTTAAGGTATCTATGGACAATACATTCTCGAGGATTGAAAGCTTAGAGAGGGACCTCTTTGGGTTGAAGAAGGAACTTGAGGAGGCAAAGAGAGAAGATTTAGCTTCTGGAAAATCAGTAAGTTTTCGAGTTGTGGAGGAAGAACTGAATAGCTTTTCTAGGGAGAAGAGAGAGAAGGAGAGCTTTGGACGAGGTATGATGAGAAAGTTGAAGAAGGCTTTTGCGAAAACTGCTTCAGAAAATGCGAGGGAGGATGTAAAAGAAGGCGGGATTGGTGAATTCAAGCAGTTCTTTCACCACCGGAACCAATCTTCCACATAAACTGCTACCGGGGCAAAAGACATCCCTCATCTATGGATACTGGGCACCTCAGTCATATCTTCTTCTCCCAGAATAAGATTTTTTTTTTTTTATCTTTTCATTTGAAAATTTTCCTACAAGTGTTTTACTGAGTGTTTTCTAAATAGAACAAAGAGATGTCACCTTCTCTTGATCACACATTCAAATTCCATACTCATCAAAAGATCCTAGAACGCATTGGCAGTCAAAAATCTGTATCTATCTCATCTTATGAGATTATTAAACTACTACCATTTCATTTCTCAGCAAAATTAATGTTTTAAAAAATACAAGTACTTTCCACGTGTTCATTTACTACTTGCATTTTGTTAAGTGATATAAGACAGAAAAAAAGTACATGTTTTTGTTTTGGAAATGCGTCTAGCCATCAAGTAGTACTTTTGTCCTTTTCCATGCCCATCACTTCCATGATATGGCTTTCAGTTACCTGAGTAGGATTCTTGATAACAGGAAACTTATTCACCTAATACATAGCCAAAGTAGGCCAGTAATACTAACAACCTATAAGGAGTGCTGTCCAACTATCATCAAGAAAGTACAATCACCATAGTAAGCAATAAATGTGCCAGGTGCAACACAACATTTGTATGACCCATATCTAAAATGTAGACATGTTATAACATGCCTATGTTCTTTAACTAGTAGCTAGGAACTAGGATATCACAATTCTCTGCAACAGAAATCGTGATCGAAACATGCTGCAAGAACCAAGTGCTCTATTTGGATGCATTAAGTCACCAAAGAATCAAAAGGGCCATTGAAACATGCTACAAGAACCAAGTGCACTATTTGGATGCATTAATTCACCAAAGAAAGCAATGAATGTCTTCTGCTATGAGTTTCGCAAAAGCTTAGGCTCAGTTTGGACTTCTTGGTAGTCATATCCAACAAATATCTTTAGGTACCTTATGAACAATCTTGAACCAAGTGCACCATCGCTTGAACCAAGTGCACCATCTGGATGCATTTAGTCGCCAAAGAAGGCAATGAATGTCTTATGGCATGAGTTTAGCAAAAGCTTAGACCTGGTTTGGGCTTCTTCGCAGTCTTATCCAACAAATATCGTTAGATAACTTCATGAGCAATCTTGAAAAAATGTAGTCTTAAACTGTCATACCCGTGAAGATAATCCACTTTGTCAAGGATAGGGGGAAAAAATGGTGTTTCTTTTGTAGCCACGAGGGCTTTCAACAGTGTCTTGCCAGAAACATCTCTACAGCCTAAAAGTCACGCTTCTGAGGTCTTAATCCCTAGAATCCATGAGAAATATATATGAACATTGTTGGACAAAATTTTAAGTAAAATCAAGTTCATTGAAGGCTCAGGCCTATCAAGTGACATAACACAAAGGGAGAAATAATAAAATAAAAAATAATTGCATATTTTTCTATTTTGATTCATCATAAAGAGTCGCAAGGATATCCAAACACTTGAGAGATTACTAATTTAGATGACAAGTACACTTTCTATAAATTTCAAGCATCCTATTTAACCAGGTGATAGAAACTCTGTGGCCCCTAAGCAAGAACTAAAGTACCCCCAAAGACGATTCATCAAAGAAGTACTACTTGTTTTGAATCAATAGTTTTGACATGTGGCTGAATGGGCCATTTTAAATCAATATAGAGCAAATCGTTTGGTTGCCAAATAAGTAATCTTGAATACCATTTTGACAGACAACCCTAAAATCGAAGAAGAAATTTGGAACTTTACAAATTCCTATCACTACAGCGGTGAGAGGCAAATTCCTATCACTACAGTGGTGAGAGGCAAATTCCTATCACTACAGTGGTGAGAGGAACCCATTGAAAGGGAAAAGAATAAACTCAATATATCCAAGAAGAGGATTGTATATAGTACACTACAAAACAATAGGCAATGCATTTTTGACCTTTGAACAAATAACAAAAACTAAATGAGGTGCAATGTCAAAAGAGCCGTAGAAACCCTAGATGCCACAGACAGGCTCCAAGATCATCTTAGAACCTAAGTAGCGAATATCTGAATGAGAAAAAGGCTTCAGTTAAGATTCCATCGAGAAAGATGTGGCCAAATTATAAAGATTACCGTAAGTGTAGTTAAATTCAAACAAAGCATAACTTCCCCAAGACATGAAATACACATTGTACAAGATTAACAGAAACAACACTAGGACCCTGGCAGCAAACCTTGCATGCAAATGCCACATAAATAGAGAGAGATCAAAGGACCCAACTCTTCAATGTATCGAACTATTTGCTACAACACTTATTGTTTCTGACAATTCATGAATTTTGATCCTTTCCACAGCGTTAGGAACGAAGTGCACTCTTTGATATCAACCAAAGAGGAAAAAACAACACCTTTGATCATGATATTGACAGAGAGAGAATGTTATTTCCGATGACAAAAGCAAACAATGGAAAAGAGTCCATAGTCTTCAATCAGGCAACAATAGCCAATAAATAGTTTAGCCAGCAATTTGTGCCCAACATTTTAGGAAACGTAGATGTGGCTTCAATAGACAATAAGATGAGGGAAAGTAGACTTGGGTGTTAAGAGGTGTGATTTCGCTCCAATAGAAGGCCCTAAAAAGGCAAGAGAAAGGCCCAGAAGGACATGGATAGAAACAGTGAGAAAAGATATACGAACTTACGGTCTTTCTGAGGGTATGGCACTTTGATAGAGAAGAATGGCGGAACAAGATTATATAACCAACCCCAAATAGTTGAGATAAGGATCTAATGACGATGATGATATAGATAGAGCATATTTAGATAAAGTGCAAAAGGAATCAAGGCCTGCAAAACTATTATCCGAGATAAAATGTAGCCAACATAGATTCTTAAAATCTATTGTTTCTTTATTGTTTTCTAATAAATGATAACTAAGGGACACAGTTTTGGTGAATTAGTCGACTCATCTATTTACATGCAACCCCTCCAAAATCCATCATAGAGATGGACTTGGATCCAAATTTTAGGGTGATAATCTAAACCAAATCTGAAAACATAAATAAATAAATTTTAAAGTTGGTATTTTTTTTTTCTTGTTTTGCACCACTCATTTTAGTTTTTGATAGAGGCACCTTTCTTTTTTGAAACTGGTAAAGGCACCTTTCTTTGCAATCCATCTTAAAAACGGACTTTTGATGCATCAGTGCATGCAGCTCAATAAGTCCCCTGATACATCATAATACTTTTCCAATAATTAAATTACAAATGACTAGTGTTAGAGAAAATTTTCTTGGAACAACTCCAAATACTCTTTAAGAACAACTAAGGTTACAACAACAAACACAAGACTGTACATGGAATCCAAATAAATATCACACAAAAGAAAAGAATGCAACTCAATTTATATGCATTGTAACAAATAAGAGATTATACTACATGTATTGTTTACCTCTAGTAAAAGAGGGTTGTGATAGATAGGGAAGCCTACGTAAAACTTTGCCACATTTTTTCATGAAGCTTGAAGGCCGAACAAAATTTACTTAGCCGACCCCAAATAGGTGTGATGAGGCTCGGATGATGATGATAATGATTGTTTGCCTCTGGTGAAGAATACATCAATAGGAAGATACCTTCCATCTCCCTTACAATGCTTTGACTTCTTCCGCATACTTTCTCTCACTCCACGTGGCTGATACATGAGCCTGGTTACATAGCAGATCAGAGATTCAGATAAAAGCAAAATAACCTTATGCTTGAATAATCTTTAATGAGCACATGAGAGAGAGAGAGAGAGAGAGAGAGAGAGAGAGAGAGAGAGAGGAGGGAGGGG